TATTCCCTAAAAGTAGTACCTATACTCCATAACACTGAGAAAAAAATGAGTTTGGTATCCCCATTTCAGAACTTGGAATTAAATATTTATTTATTTAAGTGAAAAAAATTTAGTAAATAAGTAATGTATTACTTAAATGAAACAAATTGAGTTTATTAGTTCAATATTACGATCTGGTTGAACAGGTACTTTTTACATACATTATATTTTCATTTTATATAAATGTATTTTTGATTCAATTTATCGCTTTTGTATGTGTAGCATATTTAAGGAATATAAACCTATTTATAGTAAAAAATAAAAAATTAGTAAAATTATTTTCCTTCCTTAAAAAGTTACGAACTGTATAAATAGGCATACCTATACACAGGGGTTGCTAAGAACACTTGAAATAGTTTTTTTATTGTAGAGATGTTGGATAAACGTTTTGACGTAACGTCACTTTATTGTAAAAAGGTAGTTATTTTATCGCAGCGGACAATTTTTAGATATAAAAATTGCATATCTGCTGAATTTTAAAGCTATATTTTATATTTTACGATTTAGAATAATTTACTCAAAGTCAATGTCTAATGAGTGCACTGAGTACCGGTTAAGACTTGGTTAATTAGATGTTTAGACTGCGAATAATTGCACAAAGTTACTCACAGCCTAATCATTAATACTCACTCAAAATACTGACCGGAAGGTTTTCATCTCGTTAGATATTGGCATTTAAATAAATATATTTAGGTTAGACTAAATCGTAAAAAATACTTAATGTTCAGTAAAATGATGAAGTTTAATTAGATTAGAATACCGCAGCTCACCGTAACTGATAACTGAAGCAAAAAAATTAAATACATTTTTCTCTGCAACAATGCATTTTGCGGCACGCAAAACAAGTATAAGTTTCTTAAATAAAGCACTACTTCATAATCAGTTTTCTCTACATCGCTACCAATAAAAATTATGCGACCTATAAGTTTTATGTACTGTGTAAGTTGGATTTATCTTCATTTATCCCAAGAAACTTCTTATCGCAAATTTTATTCAAATTATTGAAAAGTGGATTATATTTGAAACACAACTTTTCTAGGAAGTAAAATTGTATTAAGACAATTTTTTAAGTCCATTAATTTTCATCCAAGGAAGCTGTGTAGACATAGGGAAACGTTGAAGATAATAAGTTTCTGCAAATATCCATTTTATTAATGAGGTTTTATCTGAATTTCAATCAGCTTGCATTGATCACGTCAAATTTTGATTTTTTTAGCATAGGTAGATTTGTTAAAGCAAGGTTCTATACAAAATCTTGTATTCAACTCTAAATAAAAATACTGTTCAATTTGGAATACCTAATTAAAACATTCTCATGCCATGGTTTTAGTGCACATCTCTTTTATCGAATATTTAATTATGTTTAAATAAATTTTTACATTTAGCAATTATAGTCAAAGGTTTCTGACAGTCTTTTGATAGTCTTATGGACTCATACTGAAAAACATACATTTATTTCGTGCTGTTAAAAAGAAATTGTAATTAATAGCAGTCGCATTTTGAAATCAAAATTAAATTAGTGAACATGACTGTTACACATTTTTTTACTATGTATTAAACATTTAAAACACATCACTTTCATAATGTGCATCAGAAAATGAACCTTTCCCTGACTTTTCAGTTATGGAATCTAATGATAAATAACGAGAGAATACTTTACGTCAATATAAATAAAAAATAACAGCAAGGTATGGTACACTAAGAAAAATACAGCTTTGATACATTTATATTAATGGTTATTATCTGATTAGTTTTATTGTAGTTACATAGAGCCCTAAGATTTTCATATTTTAAACATACATCGGTTCAAAATAGATACATACCAATTTAGTTAAAAGAACACTGATCTATACACGAACTTATTATAGCTGAAATAACTGGTACCTACTCGTTTTAGAGAACACTAAAAACAGTAGCATATGCAATATTTTTTATAAAAAAATACTTTCTCTTGTCATTTGTTAGCTATAAAAATATCAAAAATGTCAAACATAAATAAAACGTGTGTTATCTTAACCCAAAATACACTTCTTTGAGACCAACATTTCTGCACTAACTTTGTTCAAATCGAATTATTGATGGCAAAATTTACTTGGTATCTACCTACTGTAGTTAGTCCATAATCGGCAACATTGCACATAGTTGTTGAATTGTATATCACAGTAATAAAATTATAAAGGAATTTCGGTTTGGTTCTTTTGAAAATCGACGTACAATGCTATCCACATGTTCTTACGGAAAATTACTGACAAGGGATGGAGGGGGTGGTCGCCGATCAACTTCCAATTGCAGTTTCACGACAGTGCCGAACAAGTTACGTTGTGATATTTAGTAACAACTTCTTGCATATTCTCAGTGAATGTGACAGCCCAACGATGAAGGAGAAGATGTAATAATATTAATATTTATTAAATGTAAATGTTTGCAATTGGACATTTTAAAAGTGGATTGCATTTCTTAAGATGCAACCATTTCATTTTGGTTTTGAATACCGTCCTAGAGTCAAGAATAAACAAATGGGGATTAGTTTAAACATTTTTTATACAGGTAAGTCTGTGTAGCTTACTGGAAATGTTCACTAACATTTATTTAAAGTATATATACTTAAAAAAAAATGTTATCCTCTTTATATATCAGCAAATGTCATTTTATATACAGCTATTAATGTGTCAATAAAATATCAAACAATATAACATGTTCAGTTCACAGTTGAATTAATTAAAAATAAATTTATACTTGAATAAATCATCTAATACTGTTAAAATATTGAGTCATTTCGTAGGCAGCAAAATCCGTTAGTAAAATCTAGAAACCACTTCGATTTGAAAAGCATAAATTATTTGTGCTTTTGTGGTATGTCATTCCTTTAGCACACAAGAAGGAATAGTTGTTAGTCATAAAAAAATATAAGTATATTCAAATTGATGTAGGTATATGTGGCAACATATAAAGAGTGTTATTTAGTTATGTATTCTCTTAGCAATTGTTCATACAAAATTTTGATAAACATCAAGATATCTATATCCCAGTAGTAGAAAGTAAAAAGTACTCAAGTAAAACTTTCAACTCTGTTGTACTGATGAATATCTATGAAGGTATTTTCTTTCAATTCAAGGCAATTGGTTTACCTACTACCTCTTTTTATATATCTAATAGGTATATTCTTTATAGTTCACAACAATTTTTAGTTTTCTTTTATTAAAAAATTATCCTTTCAGTAAATTTTAAAAATTCAGAAAATTGGTTAGTATTGTTATCTACCTACTGAAAGTATGATTTACAAACATTTTAGTTATATTTACAGCCAGTGTAGACTCTGCCTGAGTGTCCAATACCGATTTTTATATGATAAGGTACCTACATCCAACCAATTAAGTATAAATTTGTTTTCGAAGTGACAGAAAAGTGACAGAAAGAATAGAAGAATAGACAGAAGGTATTTCTTTTTCTTGAAGATAAGTAATAAGAAAAATACAATAGGAAAAGACATTTTCAGTTTTTGCACCTACTGAAAGTATTCAAAATTTTTCTTGTGATTGATGTTTTAGACATCCAAAATCAGTATTTCAAAATTTAAATACTATTGCAACGACAAGTAGGGGCCATTAAAAAAGATATAAAACTTAACCATCCCATGAACTGTTGATTGATAGTTTGAATTATTTTTTGTGGATACTATACATATTAAATATTATTATTACTTACATATTATTATTATATACATACATATTTATGAATACACCTAGGAATATTGCAATATTGACAATACCTAATTATTATTACAGTGTGGTCATTTCAATCGTTTCAAGCACTGATGCGAGAACAAGTTGAGAATGTTAGAAAGAGAGAGGGTGGAAGGAGAAAATTTCCTAATTGAAATTGTTAAATAATAATGTAGATAGGTTTATGTAATGTGAGTATATGTAAGTATTCATATCATAGGTACTAAAAGAAAAAACAGAAACTTAGTTCACAAAATTCTGAATTCTTTTACTAATGAAAATAATTATAACTGCCTAAAGGTGTAAATCAGTATATTGTGTACACCGAAAGCAGAGAGAAAAAATACACAATTTTGTGAGGTACGTATTTTTCTTCTTTTTGTATTATATTGTGTTAAATGATGTAAAAAAAAGTTAAATCAGTTTGGAATTATTGAAATCCTAACCAATGTTTATCTCAATTTTAATGTTCATAATACATTACCACAAAAAAAGTTAAGGTTCACACTTACTCACCTATTTACTGAACTTAATAAATTCCTACTATTCACAATTTATGTTCTGATTATAAAGATATCTAGCAGAAAAATTACAATTGTGAGAACAGGCCGCCAAAATACATTTTGCACCTGCAAACACCGCGTAATTAGTATCTATTTAAATTAGTTCAACGTAAGTTAATAATCATTTTTTTTAATTATTGATGCTGTAATAATTATGATTTCATTGTGTCCGCGTAGTGTTAAAAATGAAAAAAATATACATAAGAGATACAATACAAAACAGATGATAAGAGAAATCCACTGAATCTGGAGTTTCTTAACACTTTCACAAATAGAACAACTCTATTAGCAATCTTTATCTACCAGAGATTACGTTTAGGGTGATTCATTAGTCCAGCTACTGGAATATAGTAGACATATACCGCTCAGCTGAGCATCAAATCTTAAACAATTCACAAATTATCAATTTAAAATTGTGAGTCCCGCCTCTTGCCCCTCCGAAACTCCTCCCCGAGCCTGCGCCGGCAATATCCTAACACGCCGTGTGGACTTCACCGTGCACGCTGACACCAACTTATCCCCTCTAACCGTCCTATCTCACTCTTTACCACAATCGTGAAAGTCCTATCTCGTTCCACTAGGTCTCCTCCGCCCCGCATATTCAACTGTTTGTCAGAATCGCATCCTCGTATACTAAATCCAATCAACGTGTGGTATTGCCCAGTCGTGGCGCCGCTAAGCAAACGTCTCGACGCGAATGTCTATCACTATCACATAAGTCCCCACGTGATACGGTCGACCGCAGTTTAACTCGTTCCCTGAACATACTCGCGATGTTGTTCTTTTTCAATGGTACCTGAAACAAGATCATAAAAATCTCTCGACAGTTTTATAGCCCTTAGACACGTGCCAGGGCTTAGTGTTGTGTTTATTGGTCTATTAGTGCCAGCTATTTTCAAGAAATTTATGACTTCTTGAACTCGATCCTGTGACAGAATAGTGGACTTGTGTTTGTGTTCGATATGTAAGAACGTTGTAACTGCATAAAAACAATACGTTAATCCGCAATGAGTTCGTATCAATTTGTTAACTCCTTAGCCCAGTGCTACGGTCAACAAGCTAGACCTGGAGCAGAACAGGCTCATCAAAGTGCCAGTCCTGGCGGTGACTATTATAACCCAAACGCAGCTGCGGCTTCGAATTATCCTCCTGCATGCTACTCACCGCCCCAGGTTGGTCCCCAGTATCCGCCACATCCTTACGCTGCTCCAGCACCAGGGCACAACATGCAACCTATGGGAGATTACACTCAACTTCAGCCGCAAAGACTTGCCACTGGGAGTAACTCCCACATGCACCACGCGAGCCCTGGGGGACAAAGTCCTGGAATATTAAACCCGTCAGCAAGTTGTAAGTACGCTGATTCTACATCTTCAACAGGCGTTGCTTCTCCGCAAGATTTAAGTACCAACGGTCCGCCAACGCGATCGACTCCTCCTTTGGCTAATACTCAAACTAGCAATAACAGCAACGCAACAATTACTTCGAAAAGTTCCGGGTTAACCTCTCCTCTATCCGTCAGCACGTCGCCTCCAGGCAAACAGGCAACAGGATCCTCCACTGCTTCGCAAAATTTATCATCTCCAGCCTCAAGTACAAGTTCTACTTCTAGCAACGAAAAATCTGGTTCTAACAATAATAATTCCAAGAGTGGAACGGCTTCGAACCCACCACAAATTTATCCATGGATGAAAAGAGTTCACCTAGGACAAAGTAAGTACATAGTAATTATAATTATGTTATATCTTCATATTTAAATATCCACTAAATTATAATAATACGATTTTTATATTATCGCACTATTAATGCGAAAGAAAATAAAATTAAGGAAAGATAAATAGCTTTATAAAAGACGGTACAAAATTAAACGGTGGGAGATATTGTTAAAAAATCATTAATCATAGTAATGGAAGAAACATATTTTATTCTTATACTTTCCGGCCGCTACCAGACGCTACATTGTTTGACACCTTGTCTTAAATACGGGTAACAAATTTGTAGTGCTCTTCCGTTCAACAATACCATACAATATTTACACCTGTTTTCAATTTTTAACTATTTTGCGCCAGCTGTTACATATGGATATGAATATGGTAATAAAATGTATCTGCTAACATTCCCGCAAGTACGCCGGAGGATTTTTTGTCACATAAATTATTTGGCGCTTGTTTTGAATGTTGTGATAATTCGACAATTATTATAATGTAGTGGCAAGTCAACTAATACCACGTAAATCAAAAGGATGTGTCATTAGGGTATAGGGCTGCCTCAGTTGGTAGTAGGCAATAAATCAAGCGGTTTGCTTGAGAGATCGACCTTTAGGTCTGAGATCAAAAGCGTCCACTTCCCTCGTACATTTTCACTTTAAATATTGATAATGCTGCGTGGAATAAAACATAATATGCCTTTATTCCTCTGGGGAGTTCTGTGAATTTATGAATAAGATAATTATTTAAGATTAATAGTTGTAATATTTAATAATTAATGTCCATACAAAAAACTCATTTCTTATATGATAAAACAAATGGTATTTTTACCCAAAAAATCTCATGGGTAGTTTTTATTCTAAAAATTAGGCATTAATAACTTTGAATCATATTTGAATGTACTGAGTGATTAGCTTTTATTTCAACCTTAAACCATGTAGGTTTAATATTTTACGCTATAAAAATATTTTGGTATCATAAAATGTCATTAAATACTTTATTCTTACCCAAGGAGAATCACCACCAATGCATTCTTAAACCTGTTTTCATTTTAAAACAGTTCTTAGCTTGTACGAAAAAAAATTAAAGGTTCCACTATGAACGTTAGGAATCAGATGAAGCTAAGTTTTAAATCACGGCAAACCCATTTTCGAAGTATTGATCTTCCGATATGTCATTCAAAGTTCCATTTACTTTTATCTTGAAACAAAAAGAGAAAAACCACGCAGACACAAAGTTCCTTCGTTACTTGTACTATAATGCAAATAATAAATTATTACAATAATATATTTTCAACGTGCACATGCAGTTTATTATCCTTTGTTTTTTACCGAAGGATCCGTTTACTATCTTCAAAAAAGCCCAATGAAGTTGTATAAGTAATTATTATGTTGCCGCAACAAGGGGCAATACTTTTGTTCGTTTGCTTTTGTTTTATCTCGTATAGATGGTTCGATGTAAGGTATAGTGTCAAGATTTGCAGGGGCGTAGAACATTTTTTATTCTCAAGACTAATGCCTCGGGAAGCAACACTCTATTATTATCTCATTCGCTTACCATCATCTTTAATTGTCTGTATATTTTTTACATCTAAATTGAGGACGGTGCTGCGTTACCTCATTTTATTTCTGAAATATGTATCTTAATCATATCACATTTTTCATTTATTGATTATAATAGTATCGGCATTTAAACCCATATAATTATTTAAAAAACTAAAACATTTTTTTAAATATGTATCTTATTAGCTCTTGTACTTTTACTTTATTTTAAATGTAAGTATTTTATAATTTATTTTAACTTTATGAAAAACTACATAAACTTTAAATATGTTAAGCCAATTCAACTAAATCCAAAAAAAGCTTTTTAGCTGTTTCTAGCCATATTTATCTACTAATGGCACCTAATCTTCTTCATAAAAGTGATTTGATCTTTTTTTTAATACAATGATTATGGTTTATTACTTCAATGGTTCTATGCTAATAGATAGGTAGGTACAATTTATTTAGTTTACAAATACTAGTTTCAATAATAAAAACTGATTTTATAAAATGAATTCACATGTCGATGTCATTACCATTTTATTAATAATTTGGTAATAAAAAAAATTTAATTACCTACAACAGAAAGGCAAATAATTAAAAATAACTAAGATAAATGAAATTATTATAGCCTCTTGTACTGACGAAGACTTATGAATAAAACTGTTACTTCTTGGGCGACGGCTCTGTAGCCTGTGCATGTAAAATAATATCAAAAATCCGACCGTGAAAGGAACAATCTTAGGCAAAATATATGTAATAATACATACATTCTGCACTAATTTTGGTAAATAAACCTTGCATATTTCTTATTATACAATTAGATATGCATTGAGAAACTCTACAGAAACTTTTAAGCCTTTAAGAGCGGATAGTCTAAAAACACAATGACTTAGCAAATGTCATGGTTATAAATCGCCTATGTGAAAAAAAGTATTAAAATAATAAAATATGATACTCATAATATACGTACACATTCAGTATTCTATGAGTTATCTGTAGTTAAGCATGACATAAATTAAAATAGTGAAATAATTTGATTCATTGAGGAATATATTGTCACTCTTTATATAAAAACGATCACAAGCAAAAGAGATCAGAAACTATTCACAACAAAATATTAAGTTATAGAGTCATACGTATATCTATTAATTTCTCAACATGTTTCGTAAAAGAAAAATCATTTACACATATTAAACACAACGATTTTAAGACACCTACATACTTTTAAAATTATTTGCCTGTAGTAGAATCTGCAAAATAAATAATAAGAAATATGTTGCATCAAAACATGATGATATTATAAATGAAATGTAAGAAGATATTTGCGAAATTATCTAGATATTTTTTGTCAACAAAAATTATCTGACCATATGCAGGATAAATAAAATGGAAAATAGAATTTTATTCGTGCTTCCGTTTTGTTCTTAAGAGATACACTTATTATTTTACTTGATCAAAAACCATCCTCGGTGCCATCAAATTGTGACAAAAACACAACTATAAAATTTGTCAAAAATGGATGCAGATTTTAGCTCAACGGTTATTGTTGGAGCTGTTATGGTCATTGTAGAATTGTTTTTACAACATAAAATGTATACTTACCATTATTTAGTACCTTTTAGGTCTACAGTCGCAATTAATGTCATAGAAAAATCAGTATTACCCGTCTTATGGTTATGAAGCTTATAGGTTTGTGCAACAAACATAGTAGACGTAGCACTGCACTAAACCTTTTAGAGCACCATAATTTTTTTCGCACCTGCAACTGTTGCAGACATCTTTTTTTATTGTTACAATAACATAATCTGTATGTAGGTATACCTACTTCGTTAAATATAGAAATTTATTTAGTTTTCTTTTCAAAAGTCTATGTATTAATATCCAGTTTCCTATGCGGTTGCTGTAAGTATATAGCAAAGTCATTACTTTTGTTAATGCAAGTTACTGCCGAATATCTACTCATAATTTTATGCACAAATGACACTTTTATATTTAGTGTCGATTTCTAAAACCTGTAGCTTAATTTTAATTAATAAATCAAGGCTGCGCGGATATTTCTATTCATCATTAGCATTATCTCCATGGGATACTAGATGAAGAACCTTTCAAATAAGATTTCTAAATTAATCTCGCTGTGTTTTTCCTGTTTTGTCGTACATTATAAGTAAAATATTCATTATAAGGAATCTGGTCCAGTCCGTATCATAATGTATGCAGAATTTCTAATGGTTTTAATGTGTTTAATTGCTTTTAGCGGTAAATCAAAGAATATTCATATAACTGCTAAATATCGCTTTGTATCCGGGATGAAATTATATTGGACCAAATTAACACCATTCACTTAGACCAGGACAAAGCAGTTACTTTAATGATTCAAAGCAAGGACAAGTCAAGGATGTAAAGTATATTAATTTTTAAGTAAGTGAAGTTAAAATATCTGTAAAATATAGTCGCTTCATTGCAAAAATTGGAAAAAAGAAAATAGAATGAATCAACCGGTTTTAATAATAAGTCAACTTTGTTAATTATACAAAATATATGTCATTTTCAGCTCAACAAAGCACTTTAAATGAGCTGAAAATTTCTTTCAAATAGATCAAAATAGTTTTGGTCAATTAAATCAACATAGTTTTTGATCAATTTCTTAAGAGTTGTTTAAGATATACAGGGTGTTCATGGACCGGTGGAAAATGTCTTAGATTTGAGTAATAGGTACTTGTCCCCGAGTTGAGAGTTGAAAGTCGATTTGTTTAGGGAGCACTTTTTAGTAAAAGCTATGTTATTTGAAATTATTCATATCAATGCATTCAATTTACGAGGACAGTTAGTCCTGGCCTACAAAAAAATGTGCAGACCTACTCTCTAATTTTAGTCATCGTTTTTTTGAGACCTTCTTACTTTTTTAAGTGAATTAATTGTTCCGGAAAAACTACGGTCTTGTTATGGTTAAATGCCTTAAAAACTGCGACAAAAATTCATAAAGTAGGTCTACAATTATTTTAACTGCTAAGGCTACTGAGGGCGCTTTACCCCAGGCGCCCCAAAGTGACTATCTGTAAATAGAATACATTGGGACAAAAATTATTCAAATGCAATGAGAAACAAAAAAGTGACATTTATTTTTAAGTCTCAATTTCAAGAGCTAATAACTTTACAGATTAAGATCGAATAAAGTTAGATAAACTTGTGAATATGTTTTTGCAATGACTACTCAAATCCGAGAGATTTTCTACTATTTCCTGGACACCCTGTAGACTTGAAATTTAGTTGAATGCAGGTTCCTCAGTTACCTAAACATAAAATCTGAAAAAAAAATAATGGCGACGGGATAAAGTTTCCGATGGGTTTCAACAATGAATAAAACAATTATTTTTTTTATATAGAAGAGAATCTTTTTTGTAGATTTATATGGATCGATTCTAACTAAATATTGTGCCTGTTGAACTTCTTTTGAAGAATTTTA